CTGATTCAGAGTCAGAATATGATTATGAGCCCCTTATGTGCTTTGATTCTAACACTCTGGAGATTGAACATCAGGGTCAGGACCAGCAAGATAAGGGTGCTGTTGTGCCTGATGTCTGTGATTTCCCCAGAGTGGAGGAGGTGGGTCAACTGTTGGGAGATCACGTTGAGACTTTAGATGATGGAAATGTTGACACAGAAATAGTAGGTGGTGAAGGTACAAGTGAACATCAGTTTGAACGTACCGATAACCTGCCTGAGTTCATTGATCCTGTGACTTCAGTGGTAGAACCGTCTAATGTGCTTGATAATTCTCAAGTGAGGAGATCTGAGAGACAAAGAAAAACCCCTGAGAGGTTTACTTATCCTGAGTTGGGAAGACCTGTTAAAGAGAAAATGGTTGCTTCTCATTGCTGTGGGGTTGTTGGTCATGGAACTAAGTCTTTATGTTTTTGTGAACATGGTCAAACCCAACATGTTTGGTGGTGTAATTCTCAAGCGTTGTGTAATATGTGCATGAGAAATTCAAAGGCTTTTCCTTGCACAGTCCCAAGAGTGTAAACCTAGAATTACTCATTTTTAATGCAGGGTTTGAGAATACTTATTTATTTTTCTTTCCCCCTTTGTGTGTTCCTCTTAAGTCCAGACATGGGGGCATGCTGGAATTTGGTGGGGGGAGGATGTAACCCTGTGAATATTTGTACTTATTTATTTTAATTTTGATGTATTTTCTTATTATTTTTATAATACATGGGAATTTGCATATTGTCATGTAACGGTAGTCTGAGGTATTTCAAATGTTAACCAATGAGTTGTTCCATAGAGTTTTGGTTTGTTCACTATCAGCCAATGAGAATGAGTAGGAGGGAGGAGAGAGGCACGCGAGAGTTGGAAGCTGGGGGGTACAGGGAGGAAGAGCGCGCTGTTCGACCGAGTAAGGGAGTTACTGAAACACATGCTGTTAAAGTATATCTAGCGACAGTGTTTGTGTCCTAGATCACATTCAGGTATATTAATATATGTATTGTGACAACGGGGACGTTTTCTTTGTGTTTAAAGACTAAATGCGTTAGGTCTGCTCTGATCATCATAGCAGCCGTCATTTTATGTTTCGCCGGAAAGGACTATAGTGTTTCTCTATTGTTTCCCGGGATTCAAGGACCAAGAAGAGTCAAACAGCATCGGAGTATTTTCAGGCGGTTCTATGCCGAAAATAGACTTTACAACTTGTTGAAGTAGAGAGAACGACAGCTTTCGTGCGTCGGAGTCGTCGGCCATTTTCTGGGGTGTGACGCATCACTTATTTCAGCGTTGGACTGGACTGTTTTCCTGTTCCTTGTGAGGAGATGAGGACACAAGCTTCACGTAACCATTTCTCTGTGCAGTTGGAGAGTTTTGCTATAACGGAGTATCTGAGTGAGTAACTGAGTGAGTAACCAGTGTGTCTATGCACGTTGAAAACTGCGTCATCCATTCGTGACTGACATTAAGTGCACCACCAAATTTGGGCCCCAACGAAATCCAAGCGCTTGGTTTATGATCATTTCAGCATGTAAAGTGTGAATATGTGATTCTAGTTACAGTTTTGAATTCATACAGGTATACAACTGTAACAACTGGTATTATCCACCTGAGACTGTTTTTTTCCCCTTTTAGTTCATTAGAACTGTAATTTACTAACATCTAAAAAAAAAGTGGTTTCCTTTTATTTCTTCTAAAAAGGTGGTAATATTTTATTTCATTTTTACTTTTGTTGTGTTTTGTTTTGAGTTGAAATAAATAAGTCTCTATTTGTTACTATTTTTGTATTTGTTTCATAGCCTAACTTGATTACAGTATTGTTGTAGGAAGAAAACAGCCCTTAACAAATAGTGAAGTAGCATTTTATTTAATCAAGGGTAATGTGTACACATATTTGTGAATAGTTTAAGCTACATTTTTGGAGGCACCGTGACGAATTATAGTTTCTGTCGAAATACCAGAGAAAATCCAGCCAACTCATCATCAATTGCTGGAGCCCAGGTCTTGTTGTTTTTATGCGCTTTTAACAGTAGTGTTACATTTGTTTGATAGGTACGTTTTTTATTTGCAGAACAATATGCATTAGTTTGTGAGTGATGTTTTGCATTTACAAACCACATTGAGTTTGTTTGTGAATCATTGGGTGTGAGTAAAACACGTTTTGTGTGTGTGTGAGGTTTTGGCACATAATTCGCTCCATATAAACCTTGTTGTTATAGTAACGGCGGTAAAGTTGGCTTAACGTTAGACACATTTCTAACTATTATTTGCGCGTTTGTGGGGTTGAATTTGCAAATGGTGAAGCAAATATCAATCAGTTGATGCTTATAAAAAGCCTAAACTGGATGTCCCAATTGTAGGCTACTGCTGCAAGAAACCAAGCATGAATCCGGCCGAATCCTTTTACGCGAACTGACAGAGACACTTGATTATGAATGTTTTGTTTAATCTTTTAACCAGAACTTCCGTTCCGTCGTTTCAGATTAATATTGCTGGAGGAGGACGTGCGAATAAGGTAGGCTAGTGGCTACGTATAAACAGTTTCTCAATGTTTATAAATTCTAAACATTAAATAATACAATAACATAGGCTGCATTAAATGCCTAAAATTAATGCAGCCTATGTTATGCACTATGATCGATCATTTAAGTCAATGTTTTTAGATTACTTTAACTTAAAAAATAATAATTTAAGCAATTTCAACTTTCATTTAAGTTACACGAGATTTAACTTGATTTTTTAAGTCAATTTTAAAATATTTTTAATCATTTTTATATGTTTATGCTACTTGTACAGTCAATTTGAGTACAAAGCAGCAACGTTAACGTAAGTTTTAAGTTGAATAAGTGACATTTTTTACTTTTTTTTTTAATAGGTTGTTGTTGTTTGCTGTTTTAAGACTTTGAACTTGAAACTGCTGCGTTTTATATATATATATATATATTTTGGCAATTTGGCATGCAGCTTTCACGCCCACCCCCTTGAAGATCTCTGGCCTGGTCCTGCTGTAGACATCGTTTTGTTGACAGTGTCACTGTCACGTAGATGTTTTGGCGCGAAACTTGCTAATCGAGCTCTTAGGAACAGCTGTCACGGTTTTCTTTGTCCACTGTAGTAGTGAACATTATATTCAGTATGTCTCTGACATCATACATGTCACCGTTTTACGCTGGATGTCCTGTAGTGTAAAGAGCACATTCAGGGCTTTTCAGAGATACCAAATGTTCGGAAGTTTCACCATGAAAACACTTCTCCTTGGTCTTTTAAAATGACTGACATTAATTTAGTGATCAAATTTAGCACTCTTGTGGAAATATGATAATATTCATTTTGTAATTATAAATTTTCTAAATGTTATGGGGTTTCTCACCAAAAAAATGACTTTCTGTTACAAAACAGGGCATGATCTCATATATAGGCCTACATGTCCACTGTACAGAGGACATACAGAATTCTTTTTCAGTCATTTTGGGAGACAAAACAAGTGAAAATAGGGAAATAAATTATATATCAATTTTCCTATAAATTATTATATATTATTATGAAAATGTTGCCAATTATTACTCCCATTATTACACTTCTGTTTCATGACATGTTGCCCCAAGAACACATTAATATACAAATTAGATACAGTGTATAGATATATTGTATTGAATGAGACTTATTGAATGATAATTTACCCACATATTGCATAAAGTAAAATGATATTATCAATTCATTCTGTAGCTATATCTTTCATTACAGTCATATTTAAACAAAGTGTGGTCAAACAATCCTAAAACCTAAAAATCGATTGGTGAATGGGGGGGGGGGGGGGGATATATATCATAACATATGTATAAAATATATATTTTTCCAAATGTTTTCTCTTTTTTTCTCCCTAATACTCAATGTAATGACATGGAAAATACTAAATTCAAAAAAAAATCTGGGTCTTAGGAGGATATAGGTTTATGTCTCACGTGTTAGGTTTATTACTATTATTAAAATTGAACAAATAGCCTAGGCTATCGTTTTTGTTTGTTTTTTGTTATGAAGGTCCAATATTTTCAGTTTCAAAACAATGAAAACAGCAGTGTCAGTGAGGAGATTGAGCTGAAATATGAGACAAAAAAATATGAGAAATGTGAGATTGAGCTGAAAATGATGTGTGACAAAAACGAAATAAATATTACTTGTGAAAAGAATCTTTTTGTATTGTGACATTTCACGCTGTTATTGTGTTAAATTTTGTGTAAAAAAAATCCATGTCGTTGTTAGTGGACAAATTCAATAAACCAGTCAGAATCTAGTGAAACTCTTTTATTTTATAAAAGTCCCATAGTAAACACATGAATGTAAAACTTGTGGTCTGAAAAAAACTGACCTGTCATGCAACTGGAAACCATATGTAATCTGAGTTGCCAATAACTTTATTAGCAAACTCTACAACGGGTATTAATAAAGTTACATTTAATTTTTAATCGATTGTTTTAGAATGTTTCTGAAGAAGACAAATGGGGAATAGACCATGTTTAAACCTGAATGCAGGCCTTTGGACTTAGAGCATGGATCAATATTGTGTACATCGCCATATTTGGGTTTGATTTATCAGAACAAGCTTTTGCGCAATGTCCTTTTTCGTGTTTATGTAGAGACCACAAACAAACAAGATTTGTTTAATTTTGAAGGAAGAACTACACATGATAATAATAAAAATAAAAAATAAAGCATTTTAAGCCATAATACTGTAATGTTACTTTTGATACTGGAGTGAAACCACTTAGTATTTTTTTCCATCCTTAAAGTGTTTCACACACACACACACACACACACACACACACACACACACACACACACACACACACACACACATAAAGTAGTTGTTTTAAAATTATCTTTTTCATACAGGTCACTTTTTACCACCCAAAGATTTTTTTTTTCTGTAGCCCTTATTTAAATTTATTTCCAAAAATATAATTACCTGAATATATCAACACAATTGATATATATCCAATAATATTGTTATTTTTGCATGACTTATATTAAGGATCTTTGTAAGATCTTTTCACAAAAGAAGATATTTCTTGAGATAAATAAAAGTCATGATTGGAAGCTCTGAATTATAATGGCTGAATAGAAAACTTAATCTGTGGTTTAGTAGAATTAATAATAATTTTTTTAATTTAACAGTTCCGGAAATGTTCACTGCCGATGTTCCGCAGGTCAAGTCCAGAAGCGCTGGGTGGGCTGGCACATGTGATGTTATTGTATATTGTGACAAGTGTATGGGGCTCCTCACCTTCCCCAAGCATTTCAACCTGCAGTGGAACTACATGTGGCTTCTGTAGAACGAAATCTCGAAAGGGTTTGGCACTGCAGTCACATTTCCAGTTGTTACCTGAGAGCCAGAGCTGATCCAAGCGATCAGGTATAGAAGCTGGGAGGCTGACCAGTACATTGTCTTTCAGGTTCAAGTAGCGCAAGCGTGGCAGCATGTATATAGTCGCATTACGTATGAGCTCCAACCTGTTTCCAGAGAGATCCAGCCAAGACAGGTGTTGCAGTGGCACTAAGGCCTCAGCAGGAAGATTGCGAAGTAAGTTGCCTGACAGTAGCAGGTAATCAAGATTCTTCAGGCCATAAAATGTGTGGGAGGTGATGGATGTTAACTGGTTGAATCTTAGATCAAGCTGTTGCAGCCCTTGTAGTTCCACAAAACTCTGACGCTCCACTGTAGATATGTTGTTGTGTTGTAGGAAAAGGCGGCGAAGACCTGTTAGACCAACAAAACTTTGGGCTGAGACTTTTGCCAAACAGCTTCTATCAAGGTGAATACTGTGGAGCTTTGACAGACCCTTGAAAACTTGATCTGGTAGGCTGTGAAAACAACTGCCTGTAAGTTTTATCACAGCAAGGTGATTCAGGCCCATAAATGTGCCCATGCGTGCCTCTTGTAGCCGGTTGTTCTCCAAGTTCAGCACCTCTAGATGGCCCAGCCCTTCAAAAACTCTCACTCCCAAGGCTCGTATCTGGTTGTGACAAAGGCAGAGTTCCTCAAGATACTGCAAATCACGGAAAGTCCCAGGTCTTAGACTACTAATCGAGTTATTTGACAGGCGAAGCACATGTATGCTGTGTAGACCGAGGAAAGTTTCATCGTGAAGTACAGATAGACGATTTCTGCTGAGATCCAACCATCTCAAAGATTTCATGCCCGCAAATGCCCTAGGTGCCACGGTCACGATCTGGTTTTGGGCCAGATACAGCTTCTGCAGCTTTGGTAGTTTCAGAAACACATTTGCCTTGATAACTTTTAGATTGTTTCCAGTTAGGTCCAATTCTTTGAGCTCAGTAAGACCCTGAAATAGCTGCGGTTGGAGATACGCCAGACGATTCCCAGTAAGAACTAACTCTCGTAATCCATGTAGGTCCTGAAACCCCGTCTCAGGCAGGACAGACAGTGAATTCCATCCTAGGTTCAACAGCCACATGTGGCTGAGTCCAGCGAACAACCTGTCATCTATTCGAGACAGCTGATTATTGTTGAGACTGAGGGACGCAAGGTTGGGTATGCCCTGGAAGACTATGCCAGCTAATGAACGAATATTGTTCCTCTCAAGGTGCAGGTGAGCAAGAGAATTCAGACCTTTAAAGACATGAGCATCGAGGGATACCAGCCGGCTGCTCTGTAAGTTTAGGAACTCCAGATTGGACAGCTTTTCAAAAGCAGCCGCTGGTAAGTTAGCAAACAGGTTTCCATCCAGCCATAGCGAGCGTGTAGACAGAGGGATGTCGGAGGGAACCTGGGTGAGGTTGCGTGTGCTGCAGTAGACGTTGAGCTCTAAACTGTAGTCATCTTGGAGACAGGTACATCCCTTTGAGCATGGCTCACTTTTTTGGCCAGTGGGTTCCTCTGAGGGCTTTGGATCTACCGAGAGCCCCGGATTCTCTGAGGGGCTTGATTCGTCTTTGTTGGGGTCTGCCAGCACCACTGATGTCCCCAGTGTGTACAACAATAGCAGTACAAAGGGGTTCATCCCAACTAAGAGACAATTATCGAAATGCCAACATCAATCACTTGCAAGGTAACAAAGCACCTGCCTATCTATATACTTTTTCAACATCTGTCAAATTTGGGAAATTAGTTCAGCTGTAATACATTTACACCATCACATGATTATATTTGCAAGCATTCACTGAACATCAATACATACATCAACATCAAGGAAAAATGGATACATTTAAAAAACAATAGATTTGAGAAATTTAGAGTTTTGGCTCTACCTTTTTATTGTGACAGCAGTCCAGCAGGCGATCACTAGAAGAGTGGCATGTGTGTGACAGATCTGAACCACCTCTGCCCCATATATCACCTAGACAAACCCACACAGTGTTCTAGACAGAATTAACCTCTTCATTTCTGCTGTTTTCATTTCTGCGGTTGCTACTATTTTACCGGTTGAATATTAAATTAAGCCTAGCAAAACTTGTTATAGTCACTATTTTATAATAAATATTTACTGTCAGGGACGATTTCAATATATATTTATTTGTTAATTTAAATATATTTTGTTAATGTAACTCCTTTTGACATATTTTGTACAAAATTAGTACTCTAATTTTAATTGTCAATGCATTTCCACAGAATTTTCTGTCTAATACTCCCACACATTTTTGATGAAAATCCTTTGACTTTCTCTGAATGGTGTTCCAAAGTTCATGTAAATCTACCGAGCCATCAGTGACATTTAACAGATGGTACTTGGTCCAGTTGTGGTTATCTGTTGGAAGACATCCAACTCTAAAAAGTGAATCCGGGTTAAACAAGCTATAACAAGGCCTGACTGAAAATCATATTGTCTGTTTTCCGATTTTAGACTGAAACATAAGTTGCAAAGAGAGAAATGATAACACTGAAAAAGAAAGTTTTCTGTTAAATGTTAGTATTTCTTTGAAGAAGACATCATGTGAGTCAATACTCAGTGGCATTCAAAGAATGTTAGGAAGTGGTAACTATTGTAAAGGCAAACAGAGATAGGACCCCCTGCTCCGGCAAACACTGCAGTTATCTGCCCTCATACACAAATCAATTCAGGCATCTCATTCACATAGTGTAATTTTTAAATGCAGGTTCTTGTCTGTCATAGGGTTACTGAACTTGTTGACCCAGCTCAAACAGACTGACTGGTCGTCTCAAGGGTTCACAAAAGATGAATAGATCTTTTTTTCCCCCCAGGGCAATCGTTGGTGGAAATGTTCAACAGATTTTCTGTAGTCAAATATTCACAGAAGCAACACGTGTGACCACATATATGTTAATGTTTAGGCTCAATGTTACAGTGTTAAGGGAAAAAAAAGAAGCATTACAGCAGATCACTGAGTAGCTGGTGGACAAGGAGCAAGCGAAAAAAGTTGATATTTTAAGACATAAAATCACCAGTAGAGGGAAGTACCGTCTTTTGCTAAGTCTTTTGTAAGTTGAGCCTCTAAGAATTCTATATTTTCTGCTGTATTATCAATTATTGTCATCTAAATGACAAACAAAAATAACATTTTAAAATAACACTTTTGTTTTTCTTTTTGACAATGACTATTTTGACTGTTTACTTCCATGTTGAAAGCCTCCTCATCAAGTTCACCTTGCCTCAGGTCTGTTTTCCACCACTTTCCGCTGTCTGTTGTGATGTTCTTTCTATATGTGAGATAGTGCATCTACTGAGGACAAAGTAAGGTAGGCCTATCTGACAGCCAAAAAAAAACGTTCCTTCTCAAAAACAGAAAGTGCTTACATATTCATGAAGAATATGCAAAGGAACAGCTCAGGTATGGAAGGCAGTCAGTACTAAGGGTAATCTGCCACTGGCTTTTAATGATTGCTTTTGCACTGACAAACAGCTCTAATTGACTCATTCTCTTACAGTCAATGATATACAAAGGTTTGGAGCTTTGTCATTTGGCTGTGGCTCACAATGAGCACAAGCGGTGTCAGGATGAATGACAGTGCCAGCTGCTCAAACACACTCAGCCTGTTCAGAGCTGTGCTGCTGGCACACTTCACAATCGGCCTCTCACGTCAACCGGCTGAGCAAACTAGTACTGGGCGTTATAGTGCTTCTTCAGCACTGCGGAGGTGAGGTGAGCAGGCCTAAAGGACTTGGTGTCAGATTGAGTTAGAGGGGAAATGCGTGTGATGCTGAAGTTCAGTTCTTTCTGTGGTCTTCCCTCTATCCCTGTCAGGGAATCCACATACCGAGACTCTCCCCTCAGGAAGATTGTTTTTCGTTGTTTTTCTCTTCTTATGAATTGCACACATGATACATATAGCTAGAAATAAAGCATTAGAAAAAAAAAATGCTAGAACTGCCATTTTCAATATGTGTTGGGAAATAACAGATATAAAATTGAGACAATTTTGAAGTAAAGAGCTCTTAATCTTTAGAGGACATGCGCTCTAAAACTTTACACTGAACATTATGTATACATAGAAGTTGATTTAAAGTCCCCATAATTTTTGGTAACACTTTATTTCGATAGTCCACTTCAGACATACTAACTATCAGTAACTTTGCAACTACATGTCAACTAACTCTCAATAGAGGATTAGTAGACTGTCTTCTTCTTATATCCTCAACAGACATTTTGACTACAAGTAACTCTGCAACTACATGTCAACTTATTCTACTAACCTGAACCCTACCAGTCTACTAACAGTCTAATGAGAGTTAATTGACATGTAGTTTCAAAGTTACTTACAGTTAGTTGAGTGTCTAAAGTGGACTCAACTAGCCTGGCAAGTCAGATCTACTTCAAGATGTTAGGTCTGGGAACTCACAATTGGCATACATCAATCCGAGGGGCGGGATAAACGGTTGTCTTTCAATATCCCTCGGCACGCAATAGGATAGCGCTACAACCAACCAGAGCAACAAACGGCTGTGGCTGAGTGAGTCCCATGCGTTTTTCCACCAGTGAACCAGCTTGTTGGTATATTAAACTTTTGCCGTGTCCGGTCGTCAAAACTCTGAACACATCTTCCTTTTTTAGGAATGACTTAAGTGACGTTCTCTTAACTCCAAGTCATCCAGAGTCGCGGGCAAAGCCGATTCGAAAGACCGCTGTTCGCCAGCAGCATCTTCTTTGTTTTCAAGCAGAGGGAAATCACCTATGGAAATCACGCGGAACCGTCATAACTCTGCCGCCATATGTTAAGCCCGCCCACCAACTCTACACGATCTAATTGGCCGGACCAGTTTTTGGTTTTTCCAGCTCAAAAGTCTATTGAGAGTTGCTAGACCACACTTTGCTGCAAAATAATTTTTGCTGCCGCTAGGGTGCGTCTAGATTTCTTGGCTAGGACTCAACATAAAGTGTAAGCCAATCTTTTACTAGTCTGTCAAAAGAAACTTATATATGAGTTAAATAAAATGAAATAATTTATTGTAAACATTGACAGATGAACATAAAACGAAATAAATATTTTGTATTACCTGCCTGTTTTTTCATATGCTTAAACATTATATGCTGTGGAACAAACAGTTTGTTTCTCAGCACATAACAGCAGGTTTGTTACACACCTACTCGATGATACATTCAAATTGTTCCCTTCATTATCTCCATGAATAGTGTTTAGATAGATAGACAGATTGTTTTCTTTAATGCCATGTCAGCATAAGGCTGTTTTCAATAGTGTTTAGAAATAACCATTTGTATCTGTTCTGACCTGTGACCACCTCTTAGGCCTTCACAAGGGGACAGAGTAATTACTTCAATCAGTGCTATTTACATGAATAGTAGTTTCTCTGCAAGTCTGGTGGCCTTTTGTGAGTACTACAGTCTCTCTGTAACAGGTAAGGATGGTAAGCTGCTGCCACATGATTTCAACATTATTTTCAGACCTTTGACAGCCTCCTGAGCCAGACAAACCTCAATAAAGGAATGAGAAAACCCACTGAAGTACCTTTTCTCTTGGTGCTTTAAACGTTACGTCTCTGCATATCCAACAACAATGGTGGTTATTCTGCATCATAGTAAGTAAGCCTTATATAATTTCTCTTCTGTTTGTTTTCCCTTTTGATTAATTACATGGCTGGTGAACCAATAGACCTGTTTCTGGTTTAAATGTGTTGCATTTCAGGCAGCTCTTTCTTTGTGCTGTGAAGCCCCACGTGATCTCCTAGTAATAGCCTAATGTTCATAAAAACTGTGAGATGGTCCTCACTGCAGAACACGAAATCCAGGGGGATGAAATGCAACTTACATATACCTAAACCTACCCATCTCCGCCCCCTGATCCCTAACCCCACCCCTAATCCTACCCATCTCCACCCCTTAGATCTGGATCCAACTCCGCCCCATGGATCTTGTGTACTGCAATGAGGTGCTACTGAAAACTGTGCCTATTTGAAAGCAGTGTGATTTATTCTGCAGTGAGAAGAATAGCGATTTTGCCCTCACACCACAGCACATGTAGGCCTAATAGTCAAGGGGTTTCGACTGAATTATGCACGGGGTGATGATTTTTAATATCACATCTTATTTTTAGGCACAAGCAATGGGAAGTGTCTTTAGAAAATGAGTCAAAATGACTTTTCGGGACTGTTCTCAGTTGTCATGGTTTAGGTTTTCCCATCCAACACTGATGGCTAATGTCTGATGTACAGCATGTCAAGCTTGACTCTGATTGATAACTTGATTTAACTGCCTGCTGATGTCCATGTGAAACACGAGAGATTGGAGGTGAATCGTTTTAATAAGCCTGCACTGATTCATTGGTGTGCAGGGAACAAAACAGATAGGATCTGTAAGTCTCATGACTGGGTCTTTCCAAACTTACAAGTCAGGAGGCAAAACTGCCCTGTTTGCAAACTAAAAATAATTGTAAGGAATTTTAATTAAGCTGGCCCGGACTGTTGTTCTTTGAGTAGCCTAAACCACTGCATATTGGATTCAAGTTTTACATGCAATGTAGAATCATGGATCTCTGCTGAAACAAACATTGTGAGATAATGATATGTGTCACAGAGTCAGCCACACCGTCACAGCCCCAATCATCACTCAATCACCAGGACCCTGAG